GAGTCCGTAGTTTGAGGATGCCTGACCTAGGCCATGTCAAAAATATATCTTATTATTAACCATAAAAATAACTATAAAATGTATTGCCTTTTTTACATTTTAGGGAAAAAATGTGTTCATATGTCTTCATTTTATACTACACACTGATTTTAAGCAATTTGAGATATATAATAAAAGTCATGCTTCAGTGACTGCAGTAAGAAATCAATAGACTTTTACATTACTAAATGGAAAACAATGATTAAAGAGGACATATTTTGCTCATTTTCAGGTTCATATTTCTTGCTTCTACTGTAACATGTTTGATGTCTCCATGCTTTAATGTTCAGAAAGCCCTTTCCTGTGAAGGAAACAGGAAAGGGAAAACCCCCAAAGGCAAAAATAGGGCCTCTTTAAATGTGACTTCTGAAATCTACTGTTAACTAAACTTCAAAAACAGCTACATTTGTATTGCCATTTTTTTGTACTTTCTAAGAATACTTTTTGACTCATCGGTTCCTGATGGTTTCTTCCCCTCCGCTACCGGACTCATCAATAAGGCCCGCCCGCCCCCCCCACTGACACATAACATCAGCCACATCATAGACTCTTGTGTGCATTACATTAATGCACACAAGAGTACAACAATATCTGTTTTCTTTTCTTATTACTTTTTTGTTTTATTCCATATTTTATTCCTTTACATTGCAATGTAAATACTGTTATATTTATATTTTATTATTTTTCTAGTTCTCTATCTATGTTTTAATTGTTGTTTTACTTTTATGTATGCACCTAGTCAAATTCCTCGTACGTGTCAACCCACCTGGTAATAAACCTGTGTCTGATTCTGAAGTGTTGTTCTTTATGATTTCTTAATGTCTGCACAATGAACACAGTTAAAGATGAAATTACCTTAAACATTTTTTTTAAACTTTCTATAACTTGTAATAATATAATTCCCTATGGTCTCTGTCCTGTACTCACCCACTGGCCCACAGAGGAGCTCCACCCAACGATGCAGCTCTCCAGCCAGGAGTGAGATCGGACCCGCGCCCCCTTCATCACCGTGCAGCGCTTTATCCTCACGCCGTCCTCCACCACCACCCCCGCACCGATGGTGACGTTCGGCCCGATGGTGCAGTTCTCCCCGATCTGCGCTGTGGGGTCCTGGAGTCAAAGATTCACTGTCTTAAAAGTCATGAGCACAACAGCTACAGCCTAGTGATGCAATGTACATCTGAAGACCAAGACTCCTCCAACAGTGAAACATACAACATGCTTATAACATACCTATGTTGTAGAACAAAGGGTTGTCATCTCTTCAGCTTGAGTTAACCACAGACCATATTTCATGCATTTTAGCAAAACTTATTTCCGATCTCTAGGACTCATTCCTGCACCACTAATTATAACCGTGTTTATTTGACATCATGTGGCGGCCATCAGCAGAACTCACCACAAGAACATTGCCAAGGAAACCGGGACCCGTGCGTAGCCTCTCAGGAGCTTGTTGCCGTAGCGACTGAAGGTACATACACATCCCTGTGAGGAAGTCTTTAGGCTGACCGATGTCCATCCAGAAACCTACAGACAGAGCAGTTAGTAACCATTGCAACAAGGTGATGTTTCTATGGTTACATGAACAACAGCAAACAGCGACAGCTTTTGGTTAGGGCTGGGAAATATGAAGAAAATCATATTTTTGGACAAAATATCTCAATATTGATATTCCGCCATATAGTAGGGTTGACTTTTGGTTCTTTCAAAAACAAATATGTACACAATTAAATGGTTGATAGATAATAATAACAAAACATTAAAAAAGAAAATGTAATTCTACTTTAATCTAATGCAGCTTTTAAAACCAGGGAATTAAATGCGATGTAAAGATATTACAATATCACGATATCGATATTATATCAATATATTGCCCTAATTTTGGTAAATGGACTTGCATCTATAGCGCCTGTTTGCACTACATGCCTACATTTACACATACCAAGCTGCTCTTCATCTGATCTCATTCACAATTTCCAGTTTAGTGTCTTTCCCAAGGACACTTTGGGAGAATTGAACTTGAATTGAATTTTCCACAGATTCATGAAGCTTCCTGAGAGAAACAAAGCCACTACAACCTGCCAGCGACACAGACTACAGCATGGAAGGAGGCTGGTCGATAAAGAGAAGGATAAAGTATGGAGAAGCATCGATTCCAGATTCCTTCCACAGATTCTGATCAATTATATATGCATCTAAACACGACTACAGGATCCAAGATTGAATAATAACCAGAGAGCAGTGTTGATCCCCACATTGTGTTCCTGATGTTTGGTGAGAATCGGTGCTTCTCCACAAGCGTTTCCTCTCCACAGACTACGTGAGTTTGGGTGTGAGGAAAAGCCCAAACACTTACGTCTGGTAGAGCAGTGAGCTGTGAGGCCGGAGGGAGCACACAGGTCAACCTCCCACAGTAACATGTTAAAGTACCCTCAAGGCCGGCCTTACGGACGGTAACTGGGTCGACAAGCTGCCCTGGGTGATGCTGGGCCTGAGGACCGCACCAAAGGAAGATCTGCAGTGTTCTACAGCGGAGATGGTCTACGCCAGGGGTACTCAAATACAAATCTTAAAGGTCCAAAATAAATGTTTCAATAAGACAAAGGTCCGTTTATTACGGTCATTCAAACTTTTAAACAATTGCAACAAGATTCTTAACACGAGGTTGCAAAAAAAAATAATCTGTATGCAGCAGTTTTCATTGTTATTGTGTCTGTGCTTGACCCCTCAGAGTCGCAGTGTCAGAGCTGCACAGTTATGAATAAAGACAGCTGCACCCTCTTTCATTCAGCATTCCCATTATTGCTTTATAAATGTATTCCCCCTTGTGTGTCCACTGAGGTTCGTCAGGCCCAACACATCTTCAAAAAACTCCCCCTTTGCCTCATCATAAAAACTCACAAACACCAGCAACTGAGCATTGTCAGTGGTGTCAGTGGACTCACCCACAGCTAAGGAAATGCACTGTGCATTTTTTATTCCATCACAAAGCTGATGAATCAAATCACCAGCCAGTATTTATGTTCTTCTGGTTGCTGTGGAATCTGAGAGAGGGATTTGCTTGATTTGACCTGTTATTTCCTCTTTTTGTTTGCCTTCAACATGGTCTCCATCACTTCAGTCATGCATTCTTTTATACTGCAGTTATTATCCAGTGGAAAGTCCTTACCTACTGGCCTAGTTCAATCAAAGTGGTTACTTTTTTTTTGGCTGGGCAGTGTAGTTTTAAACACCGTCTTATTTGACTTTCTCAGGACTTAAAACAGTTTTTTGGGGGCAGACCCCCTCAAAGAAAACAATATATTTACACACGTAAGGTCATCATCTTAATAGTTGTGTATGCTCATCCGCAGAGGTGTGGACTCGAGTCACATGACTTGGACTCGAGTCAGACTCGAGTCACACATTTTATGACTTGAGACTCGACTTGACAACATCACAAAAGACTTGCGACTCGACTTGGACTTGAACACCAATGACTCGGGACTTGACTTGGACTTGAGCCTTCTGACTTGAGGTGACTTGCTACTTTAATTCAGAGGTCTCCAACACGCCGATCGCGAGCTGCCGTTAGAAGAGCAGACTCCCGTCGGGGAAAGCAGAATCTTCAGCCGCTCCTACTCTTGCTGAGAATCCTTGCAGGCAGGGGCGGGTCTTTATTTAGCTGGGCCACCATGCGGCCAATCATATGCGAGGACACACTAGGATCATACCATTATGTGAAAGAAGGGTGGGGGCACAGCATGTGCAGAGCGACGGGGAGACGGGGAGCCGGATTTAAATGCAAGCGCGTCGGAAAAAGTCAAGAAATGAGCGAAAACCGAAAAAAGAAGCAGCATCTGGCTGCTTTTCAATGATATTGGAGAAAGCAAAGCTGAGTGCAGGATTTGTAAAATGAAAATAACCTTCAGAGCAGGGTAAACACTCAGGATTTATTGTCAGAGGTGGGAGAAGTTCAGACAATTAAACAAAGTTACAATCAGGGTTCCCGCGGGGTCTTAACAAGTCTTTAAAAGTCTTAAATTTGATAATCAGAATTTAAGGCCTTAAAAAGGTCTTAAATATGATTCAGAAGGTCTTAAAAATTATCGGATTTGAAAGGTACTTCTGTGTTGCGACAGCGTCTAAATGTGTTTTGGGGGAAATGTCCGGGCTGCAAAGTAACCAGTACGGTAATAGCCTTTCAGTTCCCCCCAACAATTTGTATTGAATTAAATCAACATGGAACCAGTAATCACTAACTTTGTTTCCCCCGGCCCCTTATTGGAGAACACCCAGCTAGTAACCTAGCAACCAAGCTTCAGCTCATGTAGCCTATCTTCGAATCTACTTACAAATAAATATGGGGAAGTGTAAGTTCAACCGTATTTGGTTGGAAAACATCTAATTTAGTGCTTGGTTGAAACCAGTGGAGGGAACGTGTTTGAAGCCCGCTGCACCTTTTGCAAAATAAATTAGTGTTTGTTTTGCTAATGTAGCGTTAGCTAGTGCAGCGTTAGCTAGTGGAGCGTTAGCTAGTGCAGCAGCAGCTAATGTAGCGTTAGCTAGTGCAGCGTTAGCTAGTGCAGCAGCAGCTAGTGCAGCGTTAGCTAGTGGAGTGTTAGCTAGTGCAGCAGCTCCCGCAACAACACCGGGGGACCTCCGGGCGAAGTTTGGGTCTACGTCAACCCTAAAAGCGGAGGTGCTGTAGACGCTAAATACCGTAGCTAAACACCAATCATACAACAGCAACGATGAAATAGTGTAGCCAAGGCAGCAGAGCTCAGTCTGAATATAGCTCTTGTCACTCTCTCTCAGACACACACACACACACACACACACACACACACACACACACACACACACACACACACACCACACACACACACACACACACACACACACACGCTGCTCGATTATGGCAATAATCAAGATTATGTTGGTCAATAATTAATATCACGATTATTAAATATGATTATTCATTGACTTTGAAAACATCCATTTATTGAACTTTAAAACAGATAATAATTTGAACAGTATCTTTTTAACTGTTGATTACCCTGAACGTATAATTCAACTGAAAAACCAATACAACAATTAATTAAATAAATGATACATTACTAAAAAATTCATTAGATCAAATATGTTGTGGTGCACTGTCACAACCTAGCAAAGCAAAATAATCGTTTTTTCCGATTATGTTGTTTTCGTAATTGTGGCAGGCCAAAATCGTAATTGCGATTAAAATATGATTAATTGCACAGCCCTAAACACACACCACACACACACACCCACACACACACACACACACACTCAATCAAGCGCACACACATACACACTTTTTGTCTAACACGCTAACACAGTTCTGTACTGTTACGCTGTTGTGTTCAGTCATTGTTCTTATGTTGAACATGAATACATTTACTTTGTAAGTGATTATGGGACGTATTTCTTCTTTATATACATTTTCCTTCATACTTTTTGCCGTGAAATAGGTCTTAAATTCTATTCAAAGTGGTCTTAAAAAGGTGTTAAAAAGTCTTAAATTTGAGTTGGCGAAACCTGCAGGAACCCTGTACAATAAAAAGTCCTGCATTCAAAATGTTACAAGTAAAAGTACAAAAGTATTAGCATCAAAATATACTTAAAGTACCACCTGCAGAGGGATCTAGATTCAGGTGTTCTCTTCCCCATAGAGACCGCCTCGCTGCACATTATCCCTTGCATAAAGATAGATTGTGGGTCCCTTATAACATGTTGTACACAGTGGAAATAAACATTCTGGTCACCTCAACATCAGGGATCTTATACATTAAACTCCTTCTGAATCAAACCGTCACGGTAGCCTTACCTTACTGATCCCTCTTAAATTAGAAAAACACACGTTACTTTACCAGCAGAGAGAAAATGGATTATTAAATTATTAATGTGACTAATAAAGAGCAATTTGATTATTAAGTATTATTCTGTTGATCGATGTCATTACATTTGGTGAAAAACACATAATGACTTGTTTATGACTCGTTTTGTCAAAGTTTAGGACTTGGACTTGACTTGAACTTGCCCATCCTGACTTGAGACTTGACTTGGACTTGCAAAACAATGACTTGAGACTTGACTCGGACTTGAGCGCAAAGACTTGAGACTTGACTCGGACTTGCAAAACAATGACTTGGTCCCACCTCTGCTCATCCGTGAGCAGAGCATCAAGTTGACATGTCTATTACAGCTGAATGCGGCGATTACCATTTTGTTCAGCAAAACGCCTCACAAACGTATTAAGATCAACAGCTTTAGTGCGTTTTGATTCAATGCTGAGTACAGCCTCTCTCTCTGTCAGTATAGACCGCAAATACCTCATTCCTTCAGTGCTTGGGTTCGAATGCTTCTCGTTTTGCGCCGTCCAGTTAAAAATGAAATCGCCGCCAATCATATGTCCCACAGTCACGCTCGCGCCCCAGCACCGGGGGAGGGGTTACATGACGTGCATCTTGTGCTGCATTCACTTGCACTCGGACATTAGAGACTTTCTCTCATAATATGTCCGA